AAGCTGGTGTTAGCATTAGAGAGGCTAGAGACTAGCATGGATAAGCTGGTGTTAGCATTAGAGAGGCTAGAGACTAGCATGGATAAGCTGGTGTTAGCATTAGAGAGGCTAGAGACTAACATGGATAAGCTGGTGTGAGCTTTAAAGAGGCTAGCAACTTGCAGTGCATAGATAAGCTAGTGTTAGCATTGAAGAGGCTAGCGACTAGCATAGATAATCTGGGGTTAGCATTGAAGAGGCTAGCGACTAGCATAGATAAGTTAGCATTAGTATCGGAGAGGCTAGCGACTAGCATGACCATTAAACAAGGGCAATTGCAGCTGCTAATTCAGGTGGTATAAAGTTGTCTGCTTMACAGTAATATGTTTTATGTTTAATATTTATGTTGACATCATGTTAAACAGTAAATTCTGTCAAAGGAACACGTCAGTGCATTTTGTTTAAAAAGTTTGTATCTAATAAAGTATGTGAGAATTCTAGACATGCTAGTTTCTAGCCTCTCCAAAGCTAATTCCAGCTTATCCGTGCTAATCACTAGCCTCTCTAATGCTAACACCAGCTTATCCATGCTAGTCTCTAGCCTCTCTAATGCTAACACCAGCTTATCCATGCTAGTCTCTAGCCTCTCTAATGCTAACACCAGTTTATCCATGCTAGTCTCTAGCCTCTCCAATGCTAACACCAGCTTATTCCTGCTAGTTGCTAGCCTTTTCAATGCTAGTCACTAGCATTTCTGATGCTAACTCAAATGAATAGTCTCCTAATTTGCCAGCGCTGGCCTCCCCGTTAGCGGGGCCAGCCTGTCTTTAATAGCTGATTAGGAATAGACTTAGCCTCCTGCTACAAGGATGTAGCAACCACTGATTGCGTAATAGTCTTAAGTTTGGCCTTCACACCGCGGCATACAGACCCTCCACGAGTCCAGTGGTGGTATCCTGCTCGCCTGTCACCTTCTGACACTTTACCCACTGCACTTCAAGTCTCTTGAGCTTCACTTTCCTCCAGGCTGAAAACAACAACATGTACTAGCAGACAACATTTTATTTTAGCTCTGTAGTAAAGCTGTCTCAGTTTTGCTATCAGCAGTAATGTTGCCCTGCTGCAGGCAGATCCTGTATTTCCTCAGCATGCACTAATCTCGGCACCCTCTGTGTTTTTCAGGAGAAGCAGAAGAAGTACATGATTCCTCTGGACAACCTAAAGCTCAGAAATGTGGACCGGGGCTTCATGTCCAGCAAGTTTGTTTTTGCTATCTTCAACACAGAGTTAAGGTTTGTGTTTGGTGAGGAAGAGTCTCCTAATATCCATCTAACCAAGTTTTAAAATCTTATATCAGCCAAAAAGTCTTTTTGATCTTGTTTTCAGACTGATTTACTAAACAAGAACTGATTGTGTAAGAATAATCATCTTGTTTTCACAATGTGTAAGATTATTTGTCTTGTTAAGGGCTCGACACATGGGAGGCGACGTCGCTCGCTCTCCTCCAGCCAAGCGACCGGCGAAAATAGTGCAT